GTTTGTTTTTTCTCACATTTTCACCATTTTTATTCATTAATTTTGTGAGATGGTTTAAGGGGTTATGTAGGGAAAGGACAGGAGCTGTCCCCCTGTCCCCTGTGCACAGATCAGGATGTGCTGGGGGCTCCTGGAGGGTAAGAGAGGACAGAGTATCAGCCCAGCCTCCCTCAGATTTGTGTGGGGGCCCCCAGAATGGAGGATGGTGAGGGGATGGGTGTACCCCTCTGCCCAGGGTAGGGAAGCTATGATTACTGGTTAGGGACTTGTATCAGAAACAAGTTACAAACAAGTTATGTCGATCTTTTCCAACGCCCATATTAAGTTATTCTCTTGGAGAGAATTCCACTGATAGCAAGAAAATAATTTTAATACATTTATGTAGGAAAACAATGCCACGTAAGCCATGTAGAAAAAAAGCAGGATATGGACTGGAAGATTGGTGGGAGTGCTCAGCAAAGAAAACATTCATGCAGGGCGGTGCCTGTGGCTCAGAGGAGTAGGGCGCCAGCCCCGTATGCCATAGGTGGTGGGTTCAAGCCCAGCCCCAGCCAAAAACTGCAAAACAAACAAACAAACAAAAATTCATGCTGAATCTAAACAACTAAGAACCTACTACCTCCTCTGGATTTGTACCCGAAGGCAGAAGACGAGGGCTTTTCCAGCACCAGCCAATCCTAGTGTTTTACAAAGGGGTGGTCAACATGTAGAGAATACTTTGTAAACATTATGTACAATTTTGTAATGACTGTTTTGTAAATAAAGGTATATTTAGCTACAATTCCCATTTTCCCATGCACAGTGACTTCCTAGGGGACTTTTGAGACATCCTGTATTGCCCCCTAAAACATGTCAAAGACTCTGGATGTTGCAATAGCAGTTGAAGGAGAAAAGAACAGAAAAAGGATTTGCCTCTACAGGGTCCTCCAGTTCAAATCTGGAATCCAGGGCCAGGCAGGTGGCTCACACCTGTAATCCTAGGACTCTGGGAGGCCAAGGCAGGTGGATTGCCTGAGCTCAGGAGTTAGAGATGAGCCTGAGCAAGAGTGAGACCTCCATCTCTAAAACTAGCCGGGTGTCATGGTGGGCACCTGTAATCCCAGCTACGAGGGAGGCTGAGACAAGAGGACCACTGAGCACAGGAATTTGAAGTTGCTGTGAGCTATGACCCCATGGCACTCTACCAAGGGCAGCAAAGTGAAACTCTGTCTCAAAAAAAAGAGTAAAATCTGATATCAAATAACCTATTCAGATCCCAATATTCTGCTTGTGAGACATACTTTACCAGTGCAGGACTGTTTTTAAGCAGCTGATTAGGGCCATACATTTAGACAGATTTTGTTTCCTGGTTGTGTTGCTGTTGTTTCTTCCTAGACAATAGTGGATGGATCCTAATACTTGGAATTAGGTTGGAGTTAAGCTGTTGCCTAAAGGACTAGCCAAGAGGACTGGCATTTGGAAGAAGCATTTTAGTATCAATTTAGGAAGAAAGGTGGGTTCAAATAGCTGAGAGGTGAACAGATGGCAGTGCATGCTGGGAGTCCCTGGCAAAAAATCAGTCACTCAAAGGGGCCGCTGAATGGAATGCTTTTGTGTCCAGGTTGGGGGAGGAACAGAAAACTAAGACTAGCTTTGGCAGCTTCTAATATAAAATTTATTAAAGAGGAATGAATCTGATTATAAATAAATAACAATTTCTCATATCTCTGCTCAATTTCCTCAGAGACTTTTCCTATGAGAGCTGAGGCTCTTAAATCACTATGCTCCAGGAATAGGAAATTCAGATATGACAGTGGAGTTTCAACTGTTCCATGTCAGTAAGCTTTGAAAAGATGGTAGCAATCTAAGAAAAATATCTAAGCATGGAAAAGATATATTCCTTTCTAGTTAGGACAAAATCCCAGGGGAAAAAATGTTGTATAGGCATGGTGGTAATAAAAGGTTAGGCTCTTGACCTGCCCATTAAGAAAACCAGACCTCTGGACAGTTCTAGAAAGACCCATTGGAAGCTGTTTCCCTTTGTGGTAGAGGCTGTTTCTGCCAGATAACATGTGTTATCTAAAGGCAACCTTTGCTGCTTGGCTGGTCACTCTAAGCACACCTCTGACAAGGACACTTCAGAGGTAGCCACTGCTTCTGGACCAAGCCAGTTTCAAACCCCTTCTTTGCCAAGTAATGGACTACACTTCCTTATTCATGTTGGGGCCTGTCCCTAAAAGCTATCTAATAAGACTTCTAGCAGATAACAAAGATGATTCAAATTCAGTTTGAACCATGTTTCAGGAACCAACTGCAGTCAACAGTGGTGCATGTGCATTTCACATAGCCAAGACAGGTTAGGGAGGCTTTAAAACATCAGCTCTAGTTTCAAGGAAAAGACAGATGCTACTACTTTTCTCTGGGGTCATTAGGTTGCTGCATCCAAGGAGAAAACTGCCACCATGTCTGTCTAATCCCTATCTGTCACCCATCTCCCTATCCCCAGCAGGGTACCTGGCATGTGGCAGCTAACTGATGAAGGAGTGAAACTGAATTTGTGGGACAGGGTATGCTAATGGAGGTGATTGCCACCAAAATCGTCTGATATTTGCCAGCTGAGAACTCTTGGGCCAAGATAGTCCAGTAGCAGAAAGCAGGCCACTGTAACAATAATAATCATAATAATAATTAACACTTATGGAGGAATCATTGTATGCCAGGCCCTGCTAATAATCAAAGGTATCACTTCACATTTTCTTCAAAATCACCTTATGAGGTAGGGATAATTAGTGTTTCCATGTTACAGAAAAGAATAATGGAGAAAGAACATGAAGAAACTTGCTCAAGGTCTCACACACAGGGACACACATCTAGTAAGTCAGAGAGCTCGAAATCCAGCTCCAGTAGTGAATCCAGAGATCAGCAATCTCCAGAAACCCTGAAATTACTCTGTACTCTGACCATGTTGGAGACTGATTTGGATCAGTCTTGTACTTCTTACCAGCATGGATTTGATCCAAATCAGTCTCCAACATAGTCAGAGTACAAGATTTTTTTTTTGCAGGTTTTGGCCAGGACCAGGTCTGAACCCCCAGCTCTGGTATATGGGGCCGGCGCCCTACTCCTTGGAGACACAGGCACCACCCAGAAGTACAAGATCTTAGATTCAGCATTAAAGGTGAGACTGGACAGTGTTTTGTTTGGGGGGGACTGTCATGTGTGCTGTCATCTACTGCATCTCTGGACTCTATTTACTAGTCAGTGTTTTTCAACCTTTTTTAATCTCACAGCACACTTGAACCTATACGTAAACTTCCCCAGCACACTTAACTTATGTTGGTCAAAAAAAAAAAGAGTAGGCCGGGCATGGGGGCTCACACCTGTAATCCTAGCACTCTGGGAGGCTACAGCAGATAGATTGCCTGAGCTCAGGAGCTCAAGACCAGCCTGAGCAAGAGTGAGACCCCCATCTCTAAAAAATAGCCGAGTCTCCTGGGGGGTCGCCTGTAGTTCCAGCTACTTGGGAGGATTGAGGCAAGAGAATCGCTTGAACTCAACAGTTTCAGATTGCTGTGAGCTATGACAAAATGAGACTCTGTCTAAAAAGAAAAAATACACTTACTATACTTTGAACTTTATTCGAGAATAGTTTAATTGATTTTTTTTTTAATTTTCAAGGCATACCAGTGTGACACGGCCCACTTATTGAACATCACTGCACTGGATGCTTCCTGTTTCAAGCTGTAACAGTCACAATTTTCTCTATCATGGCCAAATGCCTTCTGGGGAGTGATGAGAAAAGGAGCAAAATCACCCCAGTTGTGAATCACTAACTCGAGGTACTGAAAACTCATCATCCCATAGAGTATCCTGTTTGTTCTAAGCCCTGTGTAATTCCAGTATCATTTCTCAAAGTTATTTACAGAAGTCTTCAAATATGTTTATTCATCATTTCCATGGGACTATGGATGCAGCTGCCCAAAAGATGAGATTATTCTAGAAGTGGGCAGAGACTGAGAGGGGAGGTCAAATAGCAAAGAGAACAAAAGAAGACACAGAGTAAATCAGGATTCTGTTCAATCACTCTCCTTCTCCTCCCAGTAGGGCCATGCTGCATAAGGGCCTTGTTCTTCCCTAGATTTGAGAAAACAACTAGGGACTGGAGAGCCCTCCTGGTGATGTCAAAACTTCTGCTGAGATTCCTAGAAGCCTTCAAGGCTGAAGAGGGAGGATGGAAGCCACTCTCATCTCTACTTACGTTTTTGCACATGGCATTCCCTCTGCTTAGAATGTTCCACCTCTATGTTCTCTTCATCACTTTCAACCATAGCCCCCAGGTCTAATACCCTGGTAAACATTACTGTTAGAAATCATCTTGGTGGGCGCAGTGGCTCACACCTGTAATCCTGGTCCTCTGGGAGGCCAAGGAGAAAAGATCATTTGAGCTCAAGATTTTGAGACTAGCCTGAGCAAGAGTGAGACTTCATCTTTACTAAAAATAGAAAATTAACCAGGTCTTGTGACAGGTGCCTGTGATCCCAACTACTGGCTCAAAGGAGTAGAGCACCAGCCCCATATGCCAGAGGTGGCGGGTTTAAACTCACCCCTAGCCAAAAACTGCAAAAAAAAAAAAAAAGAAAGAAAGAAAGAAAGAAAGAAATTATCTTGTTTATTTATTGGCTTATCTGCTGAATATCTGTCTTCACCACTCCCCACTCACCACTAGAATGCAAGCTCCATGAGGTGGAGACCCATCACCCTAATTTCTAGAAAACACCATGACTGATACATAATGAGTATCAATAAATGTGTAAAATTAATTCACTAATTCTAGAAGTTACTTTATTCAAATGTTTTACATGTCTCTTCATGAGCCACAGATAAACCACTCATGAAGTGATCTTTATTGGGCCATCATGACATGAGTCAAAAGGAAGAGTCTTAAGAGTCGAGTCACCAGACATCATATTATCGTACACCTCTGTCTGGACAGAGTGATTTAGGCATCCTAGTGACACCAGCAAATACTCCTGAACAAACTGTTGTCTGCCTGCCAAGATCTCCTTATCCTAGTGTGGGAATGCTGGTCTCCATATGACTCAGCAACTCTTTGCTCCTACTGTGTACTCCACCCTTGTTATTCCTTCATGTGAGGAGACTTCTGGGGCTTTGCCCAACTGACTCTGTGCTCACGCTTCGTTGCCTTGTCCTCTCTTCTTTCTCATTCATGAGCTCTCTTAGGGAATAGAAGATTTTATGTGGGATGAGGAAAAACACAAATGTAATAGAAAAACAAAACTGTGAAAATAAATGTTCTTAAGGAAACTATGAAATGACTATAGGTTGATTCATCAGTAGAAACACATGGAAACAATCAAATTCAACGGTTAAGAAACCTGAAACCTTTTCAATGTTTTATTCAGAATTACATATTTGGCTTTCAGCAATTTCATGCTAATTGCTCAAAGACCAAGGAAACGGCTTATTTATTGATGAAAAGATTCATGAATCATTCTTAAGGTTTTTTTTTCTGAATTATTATTAGAGAAACAAAAAATAAACCACCTAAAAAGAGCCTTGAATGGATGTCTCTGCAGCCAGGAAAATTCCAAATAGAGCTTGCATTCCAAAGGCTGAAGCAAAAGTGATGGCAAAGAGTGAGTTGCTATACTGACCTTGGTCCTCTCAGTCCACTCTAGATGTGGCCATCATTATGCAGAATGTCCAATCACTTCTGGCAGGCAGAACTTAGACGTTAACTTCAAGTTTTCTGCCCAGTTTTTATTTCTAGTACGCTGATGCTCTCTAGGCATAATGGCCATAACCATACCATATGGATGGACTTTACCTGATTAATCAATGATTCCAAAAACTACCTCCAAAAGTCACACAGTGACTATAGCCAAACTCTTTTCACACCAATATACATCACCAGGGCAACAAAATTGCAGTCTCTGTGAGAAATCCTTCCTCTGTGGGTTCCTGGTCAGGCCATTAATATACTCATTCTATCTTGTCTGTCTGTCTGTCTCTGTCTCTCTCTAATCCAATGAGTTACTCTTGCCTCTAAGGTCTTTAGATTCCTTTGGAATTGTGAGTTCAGAAAACAAGCTTTAGATTCTCTGATGTAACACCTCCACCTGAACATAAAAGGAGAGGCAAAATATCAACTGTCAAGCCTGTGTTTATAAAGTAGACTGAAAAAATGAGAGGCTTCTAGATTTAGCCGAAACAACATTGACTTGGTAGCTCTGATAGGTTAAATACGCTGGATGATAGACTGTTAGATTTCAACCTATATAGTCAAGCAAAGCCAAAGATCTTACTTGTTAAGCAAATGTAAGAAAATATAGTGTTAAACCTTGGCGTAATGAACCCCGTAACACAGGGATGTACCATAGGGATTAGCTTTGGAGGACTTGCTGAACTTCAGGGGAAAAGTGTCTTGGCATTTGGTGAGCTCATTTTGCAGAAATAAAATTTGAAAAGATGTCCAGCAACAAATGTCTTTAAAGGAAGAAAATTAAAGGGAGAATGTTGTGAGAGAAAAAAAAAAAGTGCACCAAACCCTTGTAAAAAGTAGCAAAAAACGTAGGATTCAAAACTATTATAATAGAAGACAGATGATTGCCATAGGGGAGAGAGACTGAACTCAACTCCAAATTACAGCAGACACCTGAAGATTTATAACCAAGGAGGAGAGTGAGGATGTCAGTGCATGAAAATTTAGTAAGGATAAATGATTCTTGCTAAAGTGACTTGGCAGGACTATTTGCAAAACCTGGGCTCAACAGGCCAAATTAGAGGCCTCGTTGATGAGAAGAGGGCTCAGTGGGGCCTGACTAAAGGCCGCTCGAGGGGACAGTCTTTGTCAATTGCATGTGATTGACAGAAACTAGAACCAAGATCCACTGCCCCACGTAAAGTTGGAGAAAATTCTATATGCATGGTTTATAAAGATAAAAAGGACCTAGCGAAAGATATCTGCCCACCACATCACCGAGGGGCTTCCAGAGTATCTGGAACGGGACATCACGTAGTAAGGGCATCAGAAAGCTGCCGTTAAGAGCACCCGAATGAAAGTATGTCTGAATCATGAGACAGCGGTCATAAAGCCAGGAATTTGTGGTGATCTTAATTCATCCACTCAACAGTCACTCAGCAAGTATTTATAGAGCGTCTACCACACTGTAAAAAAAAAAAATTTTTGTTCTCATGGAGCATATATTCTGGAGGGGAAAAAAGAGGCAAGAAAATGTGTAGCTAGTCCGTACCCAGTGGCTCAGGCTTATAATCCTGCCCTCTGGGAGGCTGAAGGAGGAGAATTGCTTGAGTTCAGGAGTTCGAGACTAATCTGAGCAAGAGAGAAATTTGTCTCTAGTACAACTAGAAAAATGAGCCACGTATAGTGGCAGGTGCCTGGAGACCCAGCTCCTCAGGAGGCTGAAACAGGAGGATTGTTTGAGGTTGGAGTGAGCTCTGATGACACCATTGCACTCTACTCAGGGCAGCAGAATGAGACTTTGTCTCAAAACAGAAAAAAAAAAAAAAAGTTCCAATTTCAAATATATGTCGGCAAAAGGATATCATGGAGAGAAATTGGCAGCATAGCGGGTGTGGTGTGATCTTAAAATTAAGAAGAGGACAGTTGATTCAAGACCTACATGAAATCAAGGAATAAACTACGTGCATATCTAGGAAAGGAAGAGGTTAATGAGGACAATTGTCTGATTTCTGAACCAATCCCTGACTGAAGGGTACAGGCTGATTTTGCTGCTGATCTCATATGCTCCGTTCTTCCTCCCTTCCTCACTCAGGTTTGGGCTTCAAGATCCTCTCTTTGAGCTGCATTCTCTGTTGGTCTTTTCCTTGTCTATGTTGGAAACCCTTTCCTGTATCCTCACAGCCTTCTATCTCCCTTGTCAAGATAGTTATCACACTTCATGGCATAACTTGAATGGTTTTCTTTCCTTGTTACTCAGCAAGGGCTGAAAAGATCTCCCCGTGCCACTCAACACTCTTCCTCTGGCCTCCAGCACGGCGAGGAGGCAGTGTGCTGCTGGTTCTTTCACTTTCCTATGTGTGCCCTCGGGGAAGTTATTCAGCCTCCCTGTGCCTCAGTTTCTTCATTTTTAGAATGGGAGAATAGACCTAGTGAGTGCCTGGCACTGAGTGCTTGACAAGTGACTCCAACAATCACTGCCTCCCGCAAAAACGTTTCAGCCCACGGGCAGTGCTTCCTTCCCTAACTGCACATCAAGGACACTGCAGGCCAATGAAATGAGCAGGAATTTCAGACTCAGATAAAGCTGGTTCAGTTTGAATACTAGTTCAGGATTTTGTAATTAATAAAGGGGGATAAAAATCTTTCTTTCCAAAGTTTGGTGAGGGTTAAAAGAGAACATACTTAGGGGCCCAAGATACAGTAGGTACTCAACAATGATTATCCCACCATCACCTTTACCCCACTCATCTACTTTGAGACCGTCTGACCCTGTCTCCCAGAGTAGAGTGCAGTATCATCATAGTTCACAGCCCCCTTAAACTTCTGGGCTCAAGCCATCCTCCTGCCTCAGCCTCCCAAGCAGCTGGGACTCCAGGACCCACCACAACACCTGGATAATTTTTATATTTTTATTAGAGCTGGGGGAGAGGGTTGGCCGGGCTGTCTTAAATACCCGAGCTCAAGGTAGCCTCCCACCTGGACCTCCCAGAGTGCTAAGTTATCCTTCCTTTGCACTTCACCCTCTGATGTCTTATAAATATCCTTTGCATTGTCATTTAACCTTTCCTTTGGCCCACACTCTGGCTTCCCGGTAAATTGTAAGTTCTTTGGGGTAGGACTACCCATTTCATTTCTCAGAGATTCTCATATTGCCTTGCACAAGGCCATTCCCAGAGTAGACACTCGATATGAATTGAATGAATAATAAATAAGGGAAAGAGAGAGAGAAAGAGAGGGAAAGGGGTTTTGTTAAGTCACGGGTTATATGAATAATAGGCCTACGAATGGCTCATGAAAATCAATGTAAATGACTCATGCAAATGAGCCAACTGAAATATATTTAGGGCTCCCTTAGGGGGGGAAATTTCATTTCCATTCCTAAGATAAATATCTATCTGTTCAGTATTCCTTAGATATAGTCCTGCCTGAAGAAAGAGGTAACCTCTCAAGATCTATTCCTGATCTATTATATTCTCTCTCTCTCTTTCTCCATTTCATCAATTTATCCATAAACTTAGAGAGAAGACAACAGCATTGCCTGGGTGAGATGCATATTTTTCCACATGGTACAAAGGAAATATTCCAAGAGATAACACAGTTATAGTTCAAAGTATTACTAAGAAAAGCCAGATATACTTTTATTAGATGAAAGAATCTCACTGCAGATTTAAAAATCTGCTATTTTAATACAAAACAGGAAAACTTTGAATTATGCAAAAAAAAAATAATGCATAGCTTCTGGTGATCATAAAATGCATTACTAAAAAGGCCATTGCTTAGAGCTACTATGGTTAATCTGAGTGCTGAGAGGAGATGGGTTTAAATAACTCTAAGGGAAAGTGGCTTGACATATGGCAAAAGAGACCTATTTCACAAAATAAGCCCACCAAATTCAAAGCAAGGAATCAAGGAATTCACAGAGCTCCCCGACAAAAGCAGAAATTAAAAAAATTTAATCTGTGACATCTCTGGTCTATTTCTCCTTAAATATGTAAATACAGTCATGTTTCTCCCTATTGGAACCAAGGACACTTGGAAGATCTATAGACATCTGTTCATGGGTCATAATTACATAAAATGTTTAAATTTTTGCATATTAAAGTAAAAGATAATATTTTAAGCCTTTTATAGTTTTGACAACAGAACTGTTGGTTTTCTATTGCTGCTGTAACAAATTACTGTAAACTTAGTGGGTTAAAGCAATAAAATTTATCATCTTACAGATCTGGAGGTTCTGGAGGTCAGAAATCTGTCAAAGGTCTTGCTAGGCTAAAATCAAAATGTCAGCCAGGCTGGGCCCCTTTCTGAGTCTCTGAAGAGAATCATTTTCTTGCGTTTGCAGCCTCAAGAGGCCATCTGCCTTCCTGGACTTGTGATCTCCTTCCTCACGGTCCAAGCCAGTG